TTGGTGGAGAGCAGTTACTTGAGTGACTGCACTTCTACGTAAAGTTCTACTCTGAAAGCTTAGTCAGTTAGTAATATGGCAATTGAGAGAAACTCATAACAGGACTTTCATATATCATATCATTTGATAATAGATGTGAAAAGAGTAATTCAACACTTCATCCGAATATCTGAGAAATACCACTACCCCAAATAAACAAGAATAAGGCTAACTGGAACATAATCCTGAGTTTCAACGTTATGGAGTTATAATAGACAAGACTAGAAGTTACAAGTACTATAGAAAACTTCATCCAGTGAATAAAACCGTTACACTATGAAGTATAAGCAACAGACAAATACAGAATTACATAGAAACACAGTATTCACGTTCTACACGTATACTAGTGTAGGTAACTAACATTTGTAAGGTTATCATCATGGATTTTCAAAACGCTAGCAACTACAAGGTCGTTTACGGCATTGACCAATAATTTACCAAATATACAATCGAGGAATATCTGTGGGCGATGAAGTCGGTGGACAACCTCAACACTGACATTATCGTCAAAACACAGTGGAAGTTATCAGTGTATGGTACTTTGAATGAACTTTCAACGTAGAACTCTGAAGTCAAGTGCACCAGCTCAGATTGCCACACATCATAAATCACACAAAAGTAGGAAAAGATAAATTTTATTTTTACTTTTGTTTACAGCTTGATTCCACGCCGTATTTTTGGTACAAGTATGGAATTTTCAGCGTGGATATCGGTAGCCCAAATTTCGCAGGCCGACCATAGATATCAGGTGTGTGTCGGTAGGGGATGGAACCTCGGATCATGTGCATGGATGCGAGAGTTCTAGCCACTGTGCCACCGACGCACAGTGCATTAAATTGATAGAAAACGGAAGTGTAGTGATGGATGAGAGAAGAACCACATGGAAAATAGTGAGGATTAAATGAATCTGGAAGATCACAAATAATGAATGTATCTGCTCCATCAACAAAGATTTTAAGCTAAATCACCAATAGTCTCCAGCCACTGACTCTTACCATCAAAAGGGGCACAATCGAGAGGTCTACACCTACATATGCAGCTCAACTAAGTAGTTAGAATCACTATGGATTGATTTCATATGTCATATATGGCGTACCCTAAATATTCTTAACCTTATTCAACAACTGTACGACAACGCCACATGTCGAGTGATACACAACGGAAAACTCAGCGAGGAGTTTGGAGTAAACACAGGAGTCAGACAAGGGTGCTTATTATCATCAATGATATTCCTTATTGTGGTGGACTGGATTATGCGTCAGACAGTGGGAAACGAGCAGCAGACATGGATATCCTGGACCGATGTGAAGAAGCTAGAAGACCTGGATTTCGCGCGTGGATGATTTATGTTTGATGTCACACAAAATCGAAGACTTACAAGCGAAAACCGACCGACAAACTGGTTGAAGAAGAAGTCGGCGAAAACAGGACTTCAGGTGAGCATAGACAAGACAGAGGTTGTGAAAATAACCAACCAAAAACAACAACAGCAGCAGTAAAATCCAGCATCAATCACCATCAACGGGAGGGATTTGAAGGAGGTTACTTCATTCACTCAATTATCTAGGGAGCATTGTCTCAACTACAGGCAGCCAGAACGGACGAGGATGTCAAATCGAGCGAGAAACACATTTATCAACCTGAAACCAATGTAATCTGGAAATCTTCGTCACTCAGCCAGAATCAACAACAAAATTCGGTCGGATTTTCAATACAAACAACGTCAAGTTAGTCAGTTCTTCTATACGGATCAGAAACTTGGCGGGCGGGTCACAAAGAATACTTCCAAAAGTTTGAAGACCTTTATTAACAACTGTCTTCGCTCTGTACTGAAAATCAGATGGTCGGAAAGAATCACCAACAAGGAACTATGGGAACAAACAAAGCAAGAACCAATCGCCCAACAAATATGCAGGAGAAAGTGGAGATGGATCGGACACTCGCTGAGGAGACCGCTGGGTGACATCGGGCGTCAAGCCCTCAAGTGGAACCAGGCCGAAAGGGAAGCGGCGAGTGGGACGTCAGTGCAAGAGTGACATGGAGGAGATCGTGTGAAGAGGAGCTGAAACAGTATGGACTAACATGGATGCAGGTGAAAAGTAGAGCAGAAGACAGAAGCAAGTGGAGACGTGCAGCTGAAGCGCTATGTTCCACTGGGAACCCAAGGGAGCAATAATAATAATAAAATAATAATATGACCACTCAAACACTTCTACAAACTGGTCAAATATCAGCTAACATTGATTGACGGGATAATTTCGGCAATCGTAGCTTCACACAGTCGTGAACTGATTGACTTTCCCTCACTAATTCAACCTCAATATTATTCATCTTATTATAGATGGAATGCGGACACCCATGCTGAAGTAAAGACTAGTTTGTAATTTTTGCGGCCAGAAAACACAATGAATGAAGCATTAAGGAGGGAAGTGGCAAGTCGTGTTAACTTAACAAAATTGTCTTACACTATCATAAACCTTATATGATGGACAGAATGTAAACCGATTCAACTGATGCTGACAGTATACCAATTTAATTTCTGTAATTTTTTTATTGTATGCTAACATGAAAGTCTGTAATAACTGATCCGTAGAGTCTTGATGACCCCAAGCGGACAGCCAAAACTTTTCTTTCACGAGCGGTCAACGACTACTTTGATTGGATACCGGTCACTAACTTGTATTATACATCTACTCGTGTGTTTGGTGCAGACTGAGTGTCATCATTCAAGTTTGCAGTGTGTCCACCAGGAAGTTAGGTGGCTCGGCATCATGGTCCATCCTCAATTGTTGTTATTCGATGGTTGGAGGCAATCGATCTAAGTTTCTTGCTTGTTGTCACGCATCAGTCAGCATGATGCATTATGTGGAAGACCATGCTTGGGAGCGGGAAGACAGGAATACGTTGGACCACTGATAAGAGGACTCCAGAAGACCTGAACTTCACCAGTGATTTATGTTTAATGTGACACAAACACGAAGACTTACAGGCGAAAACCAACAAGCTGAATGAAGAGGCAGCGAAGAAAGGACTGTAGGTGAACATAGAGAAGATGGGGATGATGCAAGTATTAGCCAACCAACAGCAGCAACAACAACAACCAGCACCAATCACCATCAACGGTAGGGATTTGACAGAGGTTACTCCTTTCACTTATCTAAGCAGCCGGCATCGTTTCAACCACAGGTAGACAGCACGGATGACGGTATTGACACCAGTCAGAATCAGAAAGGTGACGTACACCATCATCAACCTAAAATCAGTTTGTACATCTTCTGCTCTCACTCAGAAATAATTAGCACCAAGAAACTGTCGGAACAAACCAACCAAGATTCGATCACTCAGCAAATATTTGGGAGAAAATGGAGATAGATTGGATATACATTGAGGAAACCGTCAAATAACATCGCGCGCCAAGCCCTCCAGTCAAATCCCAGCGGTAATCAACGGGTTGGTCGTCTTAGGGGGACATGGAGGAGACAGTGTGAGGAAGAGATGAGAGAGTGTGGCCAGTTGGGGGTCCACTGGAAGAGGAAAGCAGAAAACAGAACAAAGTGGAGATGTGTTGTTGGAGCCCTATGTTCCACTTGGAACCCAATGGAACAATAACATAATATTAATATTGATACGAAAGAATATTTAGCATGTCTTTTTACAACCAATTTGTGTTCTTGGATTCGAATTTGAAGGGGACGCCCAATTTAACTAATATAGTGTTTATTGCAGTTTATGCAAATTATTTTGTAAATACCATTGATCTTATCTTTTTTTGTTGGGTCTTTTGTTTTGCACAATATCGAATGAAGTGATTATGCTGGCCTGTGTACTATATCTATTTCAAACGGTTTTAATATTCTAGCTATTATTTTAGAGATATTTCTTATACTTGATGAAATGAATTTTTTTCTCCGGTCTTTGGTGATGGTTTCTTGTTGTTGTCATGACTTGAGTTTAGATTCCTTTTAATGAAATTTTGAGGATATCCATCCTTTTTGAAGATCGTTTGTAGGTATTTTTTCTCCATTCTCTTCAACACAATGTTTGGACTCTTTTAAACAATGTCTGCATACAGTTTCTTTTGTGGGTAATCGAGTTGTCACTATTATAGTTGAGTATTTGGTCTGTGTGCTTTGTTTTTCTTTAGACTTGTGTTTCTAAATTTTCTGTGTTGGTTCTCCTGATTAAGACATCTAAAAATGGGATTTTGTTATCTAATTCTTCTTCTCTCGTGGTTTAAAACAATCCATTCAAATATTGTTGTTTATTAATTTGTGGTTATATTCTAAATCGTTTCTTTCAACTATTACAAATGTATCATCAATGCAATGTTTAATTATTGGTAGGACTATAAATTCTAATCTTCGCATAAGGGCTTCATCTATTAATCCTGATACGGGGTGATCTTATCGGTGTTCCTTTCTTCTGTTCGTATATTCGATTATTGAATTGGAAGTATGTTGTAGGACATAATTCCATGAGTTTCGTCCAATTTGAGCAATTGCTGCTGTATAGTTTTTGTTAATCTTGGACTAATTAAAGTATATAATGTTATGACAGCAAACGACACAATTATTTCATTGTGTTATCCATTTGAATATTTTTGATTTTTTCTGAAAAAGTTCTTTAGATAGATTATATGTTGTTGTTCCTGGCAGAGAAAGCCTACGCTAAAGATGTTGTCTAGAAGGACCAAGAAAGCTTCGCTATTGAATCATCAACCAACTCAGTGGACGAAACTAATTCAAAGTCAGAGAATTCATAGAGTAGTGCCTTACTTTAATCTTCAGCACAAAATGATAACAGTAATATACATTCACAAGTATAATTCCTATTCAGATATTAAGAAAAGTCAAAATGAGTACGTCAACCTTTTTTCAAAGACCAACGATAACATATTTAGAAGGAAATACACACGTTTATAGAACAAAGAAATTATAAAATTAACAAACTTTTATACTTACACGAACTAAAGGATATGAAAACATTCTATTCGCATCATCTTTATTCTCCTTTTCCTGTTCTTCCATATTTTAGATAAAAGTTTTTTTATTTTGGTTTCAATAAGCTTCTGCAATTCTAGAACAGTAATAGAATCTGCTAATGAATAAGTGTCGATCAATAACAATCATTCAAAGTGTCATATTGATTTCACAGTATATTCAAAGTAATTGGGGAAAAATGAAACTGTTGTATTTCTACGCATGTCTAGACATAGTTTCTCAAATTTATCATCTCCTGAAGATAATCACTATGTCTGACTGATTCGTGTCAACAAGAAAGCTTGTATAGAACGGTGACACTTCAACTAATCACACTTCATGTAACGGACAAAGGAAGGCAAGATAGAGGGAGAGAGAGCTTGCTTTGAAACTGGGAGATCCTGGGTTTGAACTCAAGTGGATGCATACTGCAGATAACTCCCAAACTAGGATGAAACAGCTATCTGGCAGTACTCCCTGCTTGTTTTCAATGTTTCTCTAACTAATATCAATCCGTGATCAAACGTGAAATATCATAAAAGTTGACTAGTTCAAGTTGTATGATTTAGAACAAAAGTAATTAGGGAGAAGGACAAATGTTTTTAGTTAATTCTCCTTCACACTCTACATTCATGCAACCATCCATTTCAGTACACGATAGCGCCTAACGGTGAATTAGAATCCTAGTAAAATAGGTATTCCGTGGTACAAGTACAATGTGAAACAACAGTCAATGAGTTCTCATTATCACTTAAACCTATATAAAATACATAGTCAATAAGAAAATGTGATGAAACAATTCAGTGACGTGTGTCTGTGTATACACATAAATACATATGTGTATATATAGTCGACAAAAGTGTACAGTTTTCAAGTGTGACTGTAATCAGTGATGTGATAAAGAGTATGCATACGACAGAGAAATACACAAACAAAGGGGGTGGACTAGACATGAGTTTAAAGATGGAGATACTTCATTCCATCTCTCGTGGGGTTTTGAGCGTGCAGTGGTGAATAGCCCCGAATACGGACGAGACAGTCATCATCCAGAGTACTCCTTGCACTAACTGAAGTTAGTTCGCTATCGAACGTCGAATAGTAGCGATTAAATTATGAAGATAGTGTGGTATAAACACAAAAGTGATCTTGGTGAACGATTATCAGGAGATATAGAATTCTATGGAGTGGAATGAGAAGGATTGTATTCACGGATGTATTAACAAGTTTGGAAGTCAGTAAGTAAGCCTAGGATGCTAGACATAATAAGAAAGAACATGAAGTCGTGGAAAGTTTGAAATAAACGTTTGTGAATGGAACAAAGTACAACGATTGGATAGGGCTTTAAAGCGTTAATTAACACTGATCGTTTTCTTTTTCATCTTGTTCTTGTGCGATGGAATACACCACTTCTGGTAGGATTCTAATTTGTCTGGTGAAATCGTGGGTTTGTATTGTTGAGGAGTCCCAGACAGAAACGAAGCGACTCTTCAGTACCCTCTAGATATCAGTGGCTTTCCAACTGAATTCAATTCGTGACCAGTCAAATGGCCACAAACAAATACTTCAAATTATGAGACAAATGAAGAATACGCTTCTCGACAGCTTCCTATCCATCTGGTTCTACGGTCACATTTCTACATTAGTCAAGGAGTAACTGGTGAGGACAACATTAAATGCTTTCCTCAAGAACATCAAATCACATAAAATCAAAAATCCTCAAGGTATACGTCAGTACACGATGACAGTGTGACAACAAATCTACAAAGACACAAAATCACGAAATTCACAAAACTGAAATGGCATCAGTTTAAATTCGGTATATGCTATCAGCCATTACACAGTCTCTCGACTACCTGAAAGTAGTTTTATTCAAGTTTTCTGGACCTAGGTGACTATTTTCACAAGTCAGTTTTTAATACTCCTCGAATTTACAGTTTGTATGTCACTCATGAATAAGGTCTCTGAGTTTTTGTTCTTGTTATTAGATGGTTGGGGAAAATCGCCGGGAAGCCTTGTACCTGGGTTTCGTGCTAGTGGTAACATATCTGACTAAAGTACTTGGTGACACGGGTTCGAATCTGAGGAGAGATAGGAGCTGTTCCTTCAAGATTGCATGCAGATACACCCTGCTGACTGGTGAGTGGCAAACTATATGCACGGAACTGTTATGACCGGAACCACGAGCTAGTAGACTATGAGCAAATACTAACTAATACTAATGCGCGCTGGCTAATCTGTCCCTATCGCACCTATTGGAGTCGTCAGGTGACTCGACAGCTATAGTTCGAAGAAAGAAGCTCAATCTTCAAAAAGAAAACAAAGCAAGGTGCTTCAACTAAACTTTAATCCTAAACACCATAATTTTGAAAATACGTCTAATCATAAAATTCTAGATACTAACAGTTTGAACAGGCATGAAGGTGTGGTGTGATGTTAGCTGATGCATAGGAAATCCTGATTAATAAATACAAAAATGGATATGTATTACGAATTAATAATACTTGGTCTAAATTCCCGATTGTCTATGTCTTCTTATGGAGACGTTAACAAATGTTTTACCCACCCACACATACACACACTGTTGTATACCGCATATACGCAAATATTTTCATATTCGGTTATATTATATAGGACAATGAACTTTTAGTCGAACGTAATCACTAAAATTCTAATGCAAAAGTACACTCTGTTTAAAGTGTTTAACAAAAGTAGACCAATATTTGTAATTTAATAATTTCCATTGTAGCATTAAGAACACAATATTCAGCTAAGAGACTCTTTTCAACAACGAATTTTTTATCAAGCTGTACAATCGTGTATATATGGTTTAAGAAATTATATCCAGTGAGGGAATTAGGTCATTAAAATAATAATAATAATAATAGTATGAAATGCAATTAAAATATTTGTTTAGTTGGCCGTAGTTAGAGGATGCTTTCCACCACACGGATGCGAGAACATATTCCAGTTTGGTTTTACAAAGGAGAAAGGAAGTGTGTGCGAAGCTCTATTCTGGAACACCTAAATCGACTTCTGTCACTCGGCCAACCTTGACCATAATTCCAAGATCATATATAGAATCCGTGCTAACTTCCCGCGTTTTCTTCTTTACAGACTTCTAAAGATAGTTGAGGCATTGGCGATTCATGACTTTAAGCCAGACCTTTGTGTACAAAAGAAGTATGTACAATCCCTACTTCTACCTGGGCCGAAGAGGGATAGACATCTATTTACTTAGTTATTCTATGTACTTTTCCCTTATTACTTCGATTACTTTTATTATCGTTATTATTATTACTATTCTCACTCTGAATCTTTTCCACTTGACACACTTGTCATTTTAAACCCAAAATTATTAATTTTTATATTTTTACAATGTTGAATTCTATCTTATCAAATTTCACACCATGTTATGTAACATTTTATATTCGTCTACTAATCCTATAATTATGTACCTCCTATACACCTTATGTATTATTCTATATATGACATTAATTATTTTGCCAGTTGACATTGAACTATGATTAAAATCACAAATATTTTAACTGCCTTTTATACTATTATTATTTCATGTATTCACACCTTTGACCTAATTCCCTCACCGGATATAATTTCTTAAAAAACCACATATATACACGATTGTACAGCTTAATAATAAATTCGTTCAAGTATTGGTTTTTGTAGGGATTTTGTTTGATTGCATGGAGGATTTAATCATGATGAGGCAGTAACTCATCGAAGAAGACATTGCGAAGTGGTCGCGCTATGTCGTGAACTCGCAGAAGTTAGAATTCAAGGACCATTGGATCGGGTCCCAGTGGCTCAATGGTCTACGAGCTCGCCTTGTAACCAGAAGGTCCTGGGTTCGAATCCCGGTGGGTGCGTACTGCTGAGGAGTCCCAAACTAGGACGAAACAGCTGTCTAGTACTCCCAGGCTTTCCAGTGGTTCTGTAACTGATGCCAGCTCATGATTAAATCCTCCATGCAATAAATTCGTTGTTGAAAAGAGTCTCTTCGCTGAATATATTGTGTTCTCAATATTTGTAAGTCCGAGGTCAAATTTTGATCACAGCTCATACAAGTTTGTTCATTATACATGTTGATACCTGTTGCATGACTCATGATTGAACAAAATTTTTTAAAACAAGAGATGGTCCTCTTACATATATAAACCTTTGTTATGTTAATTTCGATTAATTTCTCTGAAGGGGCAGTAATTTTGCTCGAAATATTACCAATAACAAAACTTATCATTGTGTGTAAACTATTAAAATATAATTATACTTTATTTTCTCCGAAGAAGTTCGGACCAGATTGCCGAACGAAGCGTTGGAATTACTCATTTCAATCTCGTTGAGATTTTACAAACAATATAATTGGTTGCGTAACCACAGAAAAGGTGTTCTTTTTTTAAAAAAATAGCAAAAGGGGATAGGGTGAGTCACGTTTAGACTGAACAATCGAATTTTCTAAACAGGAAACAATATATGGGAGAATACATGACGTCATAAAGTTCTTTTTTACTTTATAAGTTAAGTCACTGAGGTGTACCGCAAGACTCATCACTATCTCTTTCTGTGTGTACATAGATTTGACTTTAATCGTTTGATGGTGATTGTCTCAGCAAAACACAGTAGACTAAGTTTCTGTTTTTTTCCCGTTGATTGTTTTGAACGCTTTCAGATTATCGACAATACGACCGGCAATGAATAGATTTTAACACATATCAAGCAATCTTAGACTAAAGGGCTCACGGGCATTAATTAGTGTGATGATTAAGCTCCATCTATTTGATGCTAGTCGTATTGTCGACAGTCTGAAGGTGCTCAAAACGAGCAATAATTAGTAGCACTCGTTCAAGTCCTTGAGGGTAGTGACATGAAATCAATTACTGAAATATAATCTCTTAGTTGTGCATACATGAGTTAACAGTTGGTTTTACAGGAGCACACAAAATAAACACAGGCAACAAAGAGTTGTAAACACATTCATAATGAAACTGACACCTTAGCGATCATATATATATATAAATATCAGTTTACCTGTACGATCCAATCTTTCATATGAATACGAAAACGCAAGTAACTTTAATTAAGCAAATTGATACAGTTCGCTTACTCAAAATAAAT